AGGGAGGTGGGCGGCTCAACGCAGGAGCGCCCCCTACTGGCCCGCCACACACAGTAGGTCCCTCAGCCCCACCTGGTCCAGGCACAGGGGCAACCCGGAATCACTGGGTGGTGACTAGAGGTGTGCCGATATATCAGTGCCATATTGGACTGGCATCAATAAAAGGAAAATTAATGTTATTGGCTATTGGCTTTTTCTGGCCTGTGTAGCCAATGATGTCACCAATAAATAGAACATGTCTTCTGGCCAGGGCTCCTGGATGCCGTGTGCATGTGCGCAGCCGTATGCATGCACATGGCTTGGAATGCAGCCAGGCAGTGTGGCGAGCAGTGCCCTGCAGGTAAGTCTACGGAGGGGAAGGCAGATTCAGCCCCCGACCCCTATGGTGAGGAAGGGAGTAGGGCTGGGGCAGAGGCAGGGGCTGGGGGCACTGGCCAGCCACGGCAGTGAATGGGACCCGGGGTGGGGCCAGGAAGCCAGGACGGAGCTGCGGGCGGTTTTGTCCAGGGGGTGCAGGGTAGGGTGGGGAGGAAAGGGTGGCTCCCCACCACTGCATGCACCACCCAGGGTAGGAATACGGAAGGGGTATGTGCTCCCCCAGATTTGTGCGCAGGGCCAATGCGGGCTGCCCACTATGGGTTTGAGGCTCTCCACTCTGCTGCATTCACCCCAGGGGCTCCGTGCCGGCTGCACGTTCCCTGCCTGCCCAGCAGCAGTGGCGGCAGCAAGTTGTGCCTCCTGCTGCCAGGCAGGCAGGAGATGCACAGCTGATGTAGGGGCCCTGGGGCAAAGGCAGCAGAGCAGAGAGGCCTGAGCCCACATCCGTCCTCACCCTGCTCTAGTTAAAAGCATCCTTGCACTTAAAAATGGCAGCAGCAGCACTTGAACTAAAGCTCATCTAACAAGCTTTAGTTCAAATGTCCCCACTGCCATTTTTAAAGGCTGGGATGCTGATTTCCTGGATAAGATGCCTGGGGCTCTGTCCCACTTCCTGCCCCGGGTCCCATTCACCGCACTGGCTAGGCGGTGATGCCACCCCAGCCTGCCCAACCCCCCAAAACACACACCCACACACCCCTTCCCCTCCACAGCCTTACCTGCAGGGTGCTGCTCTCCACACTGCCCAGATGCATTCCTGTAAATTGGTTATGGGATTGGTATTGGCCGATACGGCTGGTTAATAATTGGCTATCAGTATTGGCCAAGAAAATCTTTATCAGTGCAATCCTAGCAGTAACAACATAGGGCTGGGGCTCAGGGTACAGCTGCTATCTACTGCTCCCCACTTGTCCCTGCCTGCGGAACTGGCACCCATCATAGGGGCATGTGGCGAGCAGATCGTGGCTCTGCCCTGGGCCTCAGCCCTGCACTGTCACCACCCTGCAATCCCGATCCCAGCCCCAGCCCTGCCTGGCCGTCCTGCTCCTGGATGCAGCTCCCCGCTTGTAGCCCCATCCTATCTGGCTGACCAAGAGCAAGGCAGAGCCACTTACAGAGTTTTGGTGAGCTGTTGCAGGGGGAGGGAGGGTGAAGACCTGGCCCGTGACAGCTCACCAGAACTCCCTAAGTGGCCATCTGGCCCAAATAATTGCGCACCCCACAGCCTTTTGTTTATAATAGGGAGTAACCCTAGAACCTGTAGACACCAAAATCAATTTTTTTTTTTTTTTTAGAAATCGAAATAACTGATCTGTAGAATATTTTTTCACTAACACCAGGCAAAGAAGAGCAATACTATGCAGTCACAGACGACCTTCAAGCCACAGCATCTGTACTGAATGCAAACTAACTTCTTTCCATTCTGGTCAGCATTGTCCATGCAGTGAAATTTTTCACTACATCTGTTAGACCACCACCCTTTAAAAAAAAAAAAAAAAAAAAAAAAAAAAGAGGTAAAAATTGGCTAGGATAGCCATCAACTTAAGAAACGGAAGTTAGTGGTCCACTCTCTTGTAGCTAGAGGTTAGTCCTCCAATTCATTAGCATGTATTTCTTCATCCAGTAACCCAGGCACTGGTATTTAATACAATATTTTCTTGCAACTGACCACAATGATACCACAAATCAGTATGAATACACATGCTAATGTAAGACTTTCAGGTTATGCCCAACTAACACAAATGCTGAAAATGCTGGACACTTACTGTTTCAAAGCTGCCTTTGTGCATCAGGTCAATAGGAGGCCTGAAGAGGTCTGCAAGGGTAGTGAGTTTCTTATCTATTGCCCCTCCATTCCGCAGCTCCTGCTCCTGTCGAACTGTGCCGCCCCCAGAAAAAAAGGGAGTTGAGTGAGATGAAATATTCACAACAGTACATTATGTTGCCTTTACCTCCTAAAGTACCAACTTAGTGTGGTGCTTAGAGTTTAAGAATGGGAGCCCAAATGTAGGATTCAAAGTCCATTATAAGGAATGTGAGCACCTGTCCCTATTTTCTGCAACTGCCTTTAAATATTTTGACTAGTGAAACATTAACATCAATGGAATTGGTAACGCCTACATCTTTTGAGTCAGGTTAGATACTGATTTAGGAATCTAACTTTAGGCTCCCCCTTGGCCATTTGTTGTTTTTTTTTTTAATCTTGGCCTACCCCCAAAATATTTGTATTTTGATTTTCTCTGTTCCTTTATCTATCTTGACACCAAAAGGCAATTCGGAAAGAATCAGATATTTATGTATATTAACAAAATATTCTTTTAGGTTCACATTTAAGATTGAATCCTTTCACTGATGGACTCAAATACAATAATCTCTGACAAGTCAGGGGTTCTCAAGTCTTCTGTAGTGTGTGCCACCTCTTGGGCGCATCTACACATGATGCTATGTCACTGTAGCACATTGCTATGGCGACATAGTGTCCACAGGTCGACATGACCAACAGCTACTTTGCTGTAGCAGAGTACTCCCTGTTATAGTGCACTGCTATGGCAAAGTAGCTGCTAAAAATAACCATACACCATGCATACACTGCAGTCCGGGCAATTACCGTGCTGTGCTTTAGTACTTCCAAAAGGAAGTACTAAAGCATGGGGCAGTAATAACGTTGTTGTAGGGCAATGTGTAGATGCGCCCCTTGAGAACGTCTTGTGGCCATCACTTCTCCCATTCATGATCATACAGACTATGTTCTCTGACCATTTGCCATCATATAAAAACACAGTAATTACACCAACTGCTTATCCTAAATAAGCAACAAAGAATATTTTATGTTCAACCTTTGGCTCGTGGCTCAACTGCAGCCTGTGGAGCCACTGCATCTAGCCTATGGGGTCCCCCACAGGTTGAGAAATCTCGCACAGAGGGGGAGCAACAGCCATTAATATGGTCACCCTCACGCCTGCCAAATTCTCAAGTCCAAGCCCTGTACACCCAGTCAGAGCCAGGCCACATGACCTTCTGCCCATAGGGCTGAGTTAGGGCCAGGCTATGCCCCCTCCCCAAAGGTGCCTCTCCCCCCCAACCCCCAGCAGGACATGACCACACTCCCTTTCCCCCACAGGCCTGGTCAAGTCCCCTTTTCCCACATGGGGCCAGGTTGGAGCCAGGTCACATCTCTCCCTCCCCCATGAGGTCAGGTTGGGGCTGAGCCCTCCTCCCAGGATCAAGCCATGTCCCCTTCACCCTCCTGGCATCCCCTTGGGGATGGTTGAAGCCCCGCCCCAATAGGGCTAGGTTCAGGTTGGGCTGCCTCCTGCCCTACTCTGCATGGCTGGATGGTACCCGCTGTACCAGCTCCAGGCACTGGATCAGAACCAACATCCAGCTACAGTCATTTAGAGATTTGCATGTAGGTGAGAGGAGGTAATAGCAATTGGTTAACTGCATTAATAAAAAGGTTGTTTGATGCTAATACAAACTCAGGACCAACCCAGAAATTAAGAATGCCAGAGCAGTGACATGGCCCACAAAAGACACCCATGCCCCCCCCCCCACACCCCATTTCTCCCCATAAGAGAGAGCTCAATTTCTCCAGCACGCTTTTCCCTTTTCCACACCTCACCACTGGGAGGAAGGGAAAGGAAGGAGGAGAAATGGTTAAATTCGGTTAGATTACTAAGGTCTTTCTGGACTAGCATATACTCTTCTCATATCTGTCTGGTACTATCAGAACACACAATTTTATTTTATGATAAGATTAGCAAGTACTTGGGAGAACGTCTATAATGTATGCTTTATAGACCAACATGGCTACAACCTTTATTCCTGATATAATATATGCCAAGCTTTGTATTTCCATGACTTAACCACCTCATAACTTTATCTAAAATTACCATAAAACAAGCCCTAATTGCAATACAAATGTCCATGAGGAATCGGACGTTATCAGTAAGTTGTAATGGCAACACTTCAATTAAAGATTAGTAAAGTAGTTTTAGAATAAGTTTGTTATGTGGTGCAATAATTTTAATATTGAGCTCTATCTGATGACCAAAACCAACAAACACAGCTAATAGATGATGAGGTTTTATTTCACAAGAGAAGTTAGAAACCCTACCTTACACATCCACAGACACTTACTGGTTTCTGTTTGAAAATCCCGAAAGCCATCAAATATTGAACGGGCAGGTCTGCGTCTTTTAGGAGCTTAAGAGAAAAAAAAAAAGTATTTCAGATGTTATTTTAGAGTTAAACTTAAGAACAATGGCATACCACAGATATGTAGTACAAAGTGCTGAAAGTCCAAGGCACGTGTGTGAGAAGTAATATAACTGGTGAAGGATGGGATAACAAAATAAACAGGTACAAGTATACAGCAAAAGCTCTGTTATCCAGCATCCCCCTGAAATGGAGGACGATGGTTAATCAAATATGCCGTGTCCGGTGCACCATGCATCTGTGTCAGTGTGCCAGGGGACAGGGAGGGGGGCCCCACGCAGGCTGTTTTGCCCCAGACCGTGGAACACAAGGAAGAATCACAGCAAGTGGGACTCAGCTTGCGGTGGCGAAACTGGAAGCGGGACTTCCGGTTTCACTTTTGCCGCATCCCTCGGAAGACTGACAGATGCCAGTTAGTGGAACTTTCCGGTTGGTAGTGTTAGATAACACAGCTTTTGCTGTAATTTCCAGATTTCTTCAAATTTCCCACTACATTTGACTTTAGCCCATTCCCTCATTAGTATTTTTCCTCAAAAGAAATACAAGGTGCTACTGAAAGTTTGGAAAAACTTTCCAATCTATTTATCCAAGCTGGGTGCTATTCTGCCTATTTGACCACTGCAGTACTTAATAAAGAGTCTCACCACACTCTTTAACAAATGTGTTCAGGATACTCAAGGCGGGTAAGATGCGCTTTAGAAAAGCCTGTGTGTACTGCATAATCAATAGAAGGAAAAAAAAAAAACCGTGGATGAAAATTTGCTAAAGGAGATAATTAGCCCCAGGGTATTCCCCAGTTCAGTTCCGCACGGTTCCTTACCCAGAGCCTCTTCCTGGCTGTTGGACTGGGTGGACAATAGCAAGGTTCCTCCATTTGGAGCCAGGCATCACTGTATCTCCAAGGAAGAGCCCTGAATGAGCTCTTTGCAGCTGCCTCTGGACATAAGAAAGAAGGAGGAGAGGCACCATTCCAATTCTCTATCTGGGCCATTCTCTCACACAGTCCTCTGCCATGTTTGGGTAAGGAACTGGGCTGAAGTTATGTGGTACCCATCTAGAGCAGTTGTTTCCAAGTATTTCTGGTTGGCCATGACAAAAAACAACCTACAGAGATTAATTCTGAATTTTCTTGCATCTCTCTCCTAACAGTTAAGACAGAAACAAAACAACTCGAAGACAATATTTTCAAGGGAAGTCCAATTGCTGCAGGAGATGTGCAAAGAGCAAAACAAAGTAAATGGGAGGAGAGCACAATATGAATTATACCAAATTAAAGCTTGCTTTTAAAAACCTATTTGCAAGGAGACTGACTGGATGCTCTAATGGACATCTCCCTTGTCTAACATCTATGGAGAAAAGCACATGTGTTCTGTCCCCACCAAGTGATCTGCTCTGTACATTAGTCACATTTTTCAGACCCGAGTGTTCCAATACAGATTTTGGATCTTAATTACTGAGTGCACACAAGCCCCTCTCAGATTAGGGACTGTTACAAGAATTAACACTTTTTTGAAGATTAGGTTACTCCTACTTCAGTTTCAGGTAAGTGTCTCATATCAGGCATGTTAATCTGAGAACACTGTTCTACATGATCAGATTTCACTAGAAATGTAAATAAATTACCTACAGATTGACTTATCTGCCTGAAACAGAAAATAACACAATCTCATTGTCAGGAGATACCCCATGCAAATTCAAACCTAAATCTGTTTACACCTAAATTACAAGTTCTCTGGAGCAGGGACTGTTTTTTGTTATACACCTGTACAGTGCCTAGAACAATAGGATTGTGAACTAGAGGTGCACCAATACATCAGTCTGATATTGGATCAGCACCAATATCAAGAAAATTGGTTATATTGGAAATCAGCCTGATGTGGCTGATAAATGTCCCATGCACAAAGCTGCAGTGCAGCACATAGGCAGCGAGGCGCGCAGCCTGGCAGTGTGGAGAGCTGAGTGTAGCTAGTAAGTCTGTTGTGGTCGAAGGGGACGGGAGAGGGAAGTGGCATGTGGGAGCAGATCAAGGCCCCTGCGGTAAGGAAGGGAGTGGGGGTGGGGCTTGGGCAGGCGCTGCCAAGGTGGGGCAGGGCGGGGCAGGGCATGGGACGGAGCAGTGGCTCGTCTGGGGGGCATGGGGCAGCTCCCACTGCTGCGCGCACATCTGGAGGGCACGGGGTTGGGGGGGTGCGTGTGCCCCCCAGATCTGTGCAGGGTGGGGCAGGCAGCAGCTGTGGCCAGGGCTGCACCAGGCTTTTCCTGGCAGGGGTTGGGCCAGGGCTGCATTCAGGGTGGGTGGTGGCAGCACTAAGAGGTAGGGTTGGGGGAACTTTGGTGAATTTTGGGGTGGCTGCAGCCCCCCATGCCCTGCTGCTGCCCACCCTGAACGCAGCCCTGGCCCAGCCCCCCCCTGGGAAGAGCCTGGCACAGCCTTGGCCCTGGCCTGCCCTACACAGATCCATGGGACACCCCCCTCCCCATGCCCTCCTAGGGTGCATGCAGTAGCAGCAGCAGCCACCCCCCTGATGAGCCATGGCTCTGCCCCATGCCTTACCCTGCCCCAGCTCGCAGGAGCCTTGATCTCCACCACCCCCTCCCCCCACAAGCCCCTTCCACCACAACAAACTTCCCAGCTACACACAGCTCTCCATGCTGTATCAGAAATCGGATCAGTATCGGCCAATACGCCTCCTTAAAAATTGGCTATCGGTATCGGCCCCCAAAATCCCTATCAGTGCACCACTACTCTGAACAATTACTGCTGCTCCTGGCTAACACCATAATGTAAACAAGCTCTTTCTTATAAGAACAAAGTTTTAACTAGCAGGAAAAGCAATCTTCTCTCTAGCCCTTCAGTTGAAGGAAAAGACCTTTCGAAAGCAAGAATAAGATAAAAACAAATTTTAAAGAAAAAAGTCCTGTGTGATACATTTCAAACTTCCAGTCTTTCTAAAGGACTAAATGAGATTGGAACTACTAGTAGTTACATATAACAAGTGGAAAAATGACCATTACCACCTTAAAATATATGTACATACAATCATTCCCTTGCATTGTGTCAAGTGAGTCATTAGGGTTTACACTGCAAAACCCACTGCATTAGCTTCTAGCTGTATTATGCACAGAACCTCCTACTTGGAAACATTTTGTTTAGTCTACACTAGGGGTGTCACGCTCACCCAGCACCCCACTCCCCCCCCCATGCTTGATTCAGATAATGGGGTTCCTCAGTGGCTGGATCAGTTGGCGGGGCGATGTCAGGGAGGTGTGGGAGTTACTGTTGCCACGGCTCACCTGTCACCACTGACACCTATCCCCAGTGTGACTCTACAGCTCTCAGTGGTGGGCCCTACCTCTGCTGGCCCCACCTGTCAATTCCTGGCCCCTCCAGGAGCTCTGCAGGCCAGAATACACATCTCTGTGGAATAGATGCAGCGCACAGCCAAGTTTGGCAATTGTGGTCTATACTATGGCATCAGCACTACTAGCTGGGCCCCCCCAAAGTCACAAAAGCTGCCTTAACAGCCAAAGCTTTCTTTTCCTGCCAGAGCTGCACTGCAACAGGGATTCTGCTGGCAGAGATGTCATGTACAAGGCAAGATCTTTTCACACCCCACAGCCAAAATAGTTATGCCAGCAGAACTTGGCAGTATAGAAAAGGCCTAAGCCTCTGATAACATTTCTATTATAGATAAACAGCTGAGATGATTCAAGAAACTGAGTACCAAATAGAAATTAAATGCTTAGACATATTTTTCTTTCATATTTATCTCATCAACACCTTTGTCATCATGCTTCATACTCATCAAGCCTCATGTATGATTCTTTCATCTCCCCTCAATTCTCTGGTTGTCTTCAATCTATCTCTTTCTTTCCTTGTCAGCATGATACTTTCCAGACTCCCACTATTGTCTACCAACATCTCTAGTCTGGAAATAGTCTCACCTAGCCTTACACTGCAAAAATACTCTCAAACCACCATACTTGAGTTTACAGGAACGGTAAATTTAGCATAGCTAATTGGGTATTGTTTCGTGTCAAACAAGAGGCACTCCCAGTTGTACTCAATTTATTATCCATGATTCCTTTAAAAAGCTGCACTCCTAGTAGCAAAAGGCACAGATGGACTTCTGTTTCAGTGAGTTATAATACAGTGTCCTTGTCACCCACCCAATTTGGAGAGGACTTTAAAAACAAGGAAAAAAAAAGAACATAAAAAACCAAACAAACAAACAACAACAAAACTTACCCCCAAACAAAGGCTCAGGTTCTACCAAAATTTCTTGTTTTTGTGGAATCGGTGCTCGTACTTCATCCCTACCAGAAAGAAACAACACTTTAGTATGTTAAGCAACTACAGCATAAAACAAAAATACCAGTTCCTGTCCTAAGGCTCTTAGAGAATTAAATCAGATTCAGATACTACAGTATGCGATTTCAGGAGATCACTTAGTCCAACCCCCTACACCATAATAGGATCAGACATAACAAGAGAGTCCCTAACAGATAGATATCTTGTTTTTAATAAAGATTACAGGCATAGCCAGGCAGACAATTCTAGTGCTTCATTGCCTTAATAGTTAGAAAGATTTTCATCAAAATAATCATCTCATGTGTCTTATATATGATACTCCTGTTAAAACATTCCAAAATATATCTATCTTTCACAACATTACCATATGGCTGACTCAGCTTGAGATCTAACATAACATCCAGGTCCTTTTCTGGAGTATGGCTGTCTAGTCAGTTGCTCTCTATTCTGCATTTATTCATTTGTTTAATCCTTCCTATTGGTAGTACTTTGCACTTGTTTTTATTGACATTAATCTGGTCAATTTTGGATTCTCTCCACATTATCAAGATCATTTTGAATTCTGATCCTGTCTTCCAGGCAGCCTGTAAACCCATTGCAGCTTGATGTCTTTTGCAAATTTTTGAAAAGTATACTCCATCACCCAAGGTATTAATGACCATACTAAAGAGTACTGGACTCAAAAGAGATACTGGCAGCACCCGTTTGAGAGTGAGCCATAAGGATTTTCCACCAGTTATGCATTTACCTTATTCTGATTTAATATAGACCATGTGTTCCTCTTTTGCTTAACAGTTGTGCAGTACTGTTTCAAAAACCTAAAGTCAAGACAGGACCTCTCCTTCATCCTCTAGTCTGGTTATCCTGTCGGAGGACATTAGATTGGTTTGGTATTTGTTCTTGACAAATGCATGTTACCAATTTATTACTTCTTGTCTTCTGGGTGCTTACAAACTGCTTAATCTTCTCCAGAATCTGCCCACAGATCTAAGTTAGGCTGAGTAGTCAGTAATTCCCTGGGTCCCTCTCCCTCCCCCTTTCCCTTTTTTAACATTAAACTTTAGTACTAAATTTATCTTTTTCAGTCCTCTGAGACTTTCCTAAGTTCTATAGGCTCTCAAAGGAAATTGAAGCTATTGGTTCCCTAAGTACTTTAGGGTGAATTTCACCAGGCTCTGATAATTTAAATATATCTACACTAACTGTAACCCACTCTTCTTTTGTAGCCTACTGTCCACGTCCTTATGAAAATTAATTGCATTTTATATCTGGTCACAGCTTATTTTTATTCACCTTTTTGTGAAGAATGAAGCCCAGATGCATTGAATACTTCACTGTTCTCTACATCACCTGTTTTTGCCTTCCTTTGCTGTCAAGCAAAGACCTAAGCTTTCCTTTGTCTTCCTCTTATTTAAATAATATATATACCAAGCATTAAGTAAAGATAATGTACAAGAATACATTTTTTAGTGAGTACATTTCAAGTGTGTCAAAGGCTTCACAGAAGTGAATCTGAGAAACCTGAATGGAAACTGGGGTTCTATGTATGAAGGTAGGCAAAAAACCCCAAACAAACAAAAAAACAAGTGCAGACTAGAGTCTACACAGTACTGAGCAGTAGAGGTACACCAATATATTGGTTGCATATCAGATCGGCACTGATAACAGGAAAACTAACATTATCAGCCATCAGCTTTTTTTGGCCGATAATATTACTGATAATGTTACTGGCTTTTTTTGGCCGGTAATTTTACTGATGTGCACAGCCGCAGCATGCACGTGGCCAGGAGCACAGTCTGGCAGCTTGGAGAGCAGCATCTGGCCAGTAATTCTGTGGGGAGGAAGGGGCATGGTGGGAGCAGATCAAGGTCCCCAGGTGAGGGAGAAAGTGGGGCAGAGGCAGGTGCTTCTCAGCCAGGGCGGTAAATGTGACTCCAGGGGGCAGGACAGACCCACAAGCAGCTCTTCTGGGGGCGCGGTGGGGGAGGAGAGAAGAGGCGGTTCCCTGCTGCTGCAGGTATCCCTGGGGGAGGCACAGGAGGCACGTGCCCCCCCAGATTTGTGCGCAGGATGAGGGCAGACTGCACACTCGGGGACAGGGTCTGCGCCAGCCTCTTCCCAGTGCGGGGGCTGGGCTGGGGCGGCACTTGGGGAGGGCAGGCAGTGGCAGCACTGGGAGAGGGGGCTACAGCCACCCCTCCCAGTGCCACCACCACTGCCTGCCCTGAGCACAGCCCTGGCTCAGCCCGCCTGCTGGGAAGAGGCTGGGGCAGCCCCTGGCCCTGAGCCCACAGAGGGCAGCCCGCCCTTGCCTCACACACAAATCTGGGGGAGCACATGCCCCTCATGCCTCCCCCAGGAGTGAACACAGCAGCGGGGAGCCAGCCCCTGTCCCCACCCCCCAGGACTAGCTGCCCATGGGCCCATCCCACTCTCGGGGTCACACACACTGCCCTGGCTGGGCAGCACCTACTCCTGCCCTCACTGCGGGGGGCCTTGATCTGCACCCCCAAGCCCCTTCCCTCCCCACAGACGTACTGGTCAGACACTGCTCTCCAAGTCGCCAGGCTGCATCCCTGTAAATTGGCTATTGGATTGGTATCAGCCAATATGGCTGGTTAATAATCTGCCATCAGTATTGGCCAAGAAAATCTGAGTGAACCCCAACTGAGCAATGCTTTGTTTCTTTTGCTGACTTATCAGTCATTTATGTACTATGTTGGAAGTACAGAGGATGGACTAGCCACCTCCTGAATGGAACCAATTTATTTCAACTAAAGCATTTAGAAGTTTCAACTCATTGCTAGATAAGAGACTGATTCAAAACAATCCATCTAGAAATGTGACTACCAATACCAATGAGTATGAACTTCTCTTCAATACCAATCCGAAAGGTATTTAGCATCAGTTATAACTGCTAGCACTACTCCAATTGTTTTAATCTCAAATACACTGTTATAGTCCTTGGGTTCCTTTTGAAGTTCCTTCTTTTCCCACTCAGTCCTCTTTCTTGGGAAAGAACTTATTGCCGTGCCTTCACCACCGAATTATTTTAAATCTAGACAGAAAAAGGTAGATAGTTTTTTTCCGCTCAAAGATGCAAGATTTATTTTCACTGTCAAATTGCTCTATTTATCCATGGATTAGATAGCACTGACAGAGCTGCACTGCAAACTTCTCTATGATATCTGAGTATAACTTGACTCTAACCTTCAGTGACTAAGCTTATATGCCAGAAGGTAATGCAATTTTCAACAAATCAGTCCTTGCCCTTTCCTGTGCTAACAAGCATGCCGATTTTTTGGCAGCTATTGTGGTGCTAAGGTTGGGGGGTGATGTTGTAGCTGAGGTGGTCCAGGAAAAATGTGAGAAACAAGGATTTTTGTTGGTGACACATTTTACTGTGCCAATTGTCTAATTGGGAGGGATACAGACAAGCTTTCTGGTATGAAGTAACCCTTCTTCAGACCCATGAAAAAAAACTATTGCTGTATTTTTTACGGAGAGATAAGAAGCCCTGTAGCGAAAGGGCTTTGCTAAGGCCAAAAAACTAACAATGTCTTGGCCACCAATCCAAATAAATCTAAATTCACATCAGCGCCCTGGTGGTAAAAGGTCATTCATCATCACAACCAACACCACAAAGGCAAAACCCAGTTTCTGTGCCACCTGGAAACACAATTTACATAGCTTGGCTTGTACACACCATACATGCAAGACAGATGTCATAAAAAATTTACAGCCTGAAAAGTTATAATCTCTTTGGGGTAGGGACCATCTCTAGTAGACCTCTGTACATTATCTAGCACAGGGGTTGGCAATCGTTTGTTGGCATGGGCCACTTTTTGCAACCTGGGCCCCAGCTGTGACCTTTAAGTCTCCACCTCTCAGAGTGGCCAGCTGTCTGTGGTTATCCTTGCCACTGATCCCTATTCACACTGCAGCAAGAATAAGAGCATATGTCAGGCTCTGAAGTGGAGGGGATTGCCGTCCAAGGGATAGGCAGCACAGCACAATAGTACCTGCCAATCCCCCATGCTAAATCACACCTGTGTGTGTTGGATCCAGGGATCTGCCCAAGTAAAATAACAGAAGCACAAACTTCACATCTCCCAACTGAGTCTTGTGTGTTAGTTTTAGCATCCAGACATTCCACTGTTGCACTCGTCACGTCTCTAGCCTGTTACTGCTGCAACACTGACATGCAATTCTTCAGTAGTTTTGAACGATCTTCTACTCCCAATAAGACCACTCTAATCAAACAATTATCTAGTGGTAAGAATGGCACCATCAGAGGAGCAAAAGACATTAGAGACTGTTCAGCAGCAAAGTGACAGCAAGCTAAGTGACTGGGGCAATAGTGAAATGCCTTCTATGCCAATTTTCGCACCTTTCAAAGTTAAATATTATTCAAGTCAGATTACTCATTCACATGGATATGTTTTAACAGGTACATACTCTGTGTGGGGCCGGACAGCTGATACCCCTGCCGAACTGGTGCTGGGCTCTTCTGCTATGCCTCCACCATCCAGAAACATGGTAACAGCCATTTCCAGATTATTGTTGCATGCTTCAAGCATATGTTTCCCCACACTTTCACTAGCACCTGCAGCAATGAAAGAAAGAAGTCTTCAGAAAACAATAAAAGCATGATTGAACAGGTGCTGGAATGGCTGACCAGCAAGCCTTTTTTCTCCTCAAAGAATCAGCAGTTAGTAAAAATGGATAGTTAATGCAGTTATCACTTACATTTTAGAACCAATAAAAACTGATCTAAATATCTTGCTGTGGAGAAGGTCTGGTTCTTAGCAATCCAGACTTCTCCATCTCTCCATGACAAAAAGCTGAAGAATTTAGCAGAAGTCTCTAATAGCTTTCAGGCTTTACCCAATACAAGGTTCTAAACAGCAATAAGGCACAACCACAACGCTGAACGATGTTGGGTCTTACACAAAATGGAGACATGGCTTATCATCCTGCTGAAAACTCAAAAAGCAGTAATGATTTCTACACACCTATGACAGACATTCATAGACAAGGTTTTTTTCTTTCTTTATCCATTTAATTCCTTATTGTATTATCCAGCCAGGTAATTGAAAATAGAACAAGACACAGAAAACAAATGGAAAATTATTTTAAATGGTTTACAGCAGAGGTATCAAACACAGGCTGAAGGCTGGATCCAAACCAGCGCTCCTGGAGGGGCCAAAAGTTTAGTGATGGGGTGGAGCAGTGGTGGTATTAACTGCTCTTTGTCACTTTGAGTGACAAAGTGACTTTGGCACCTCTGAGGTTTTATGCTGCTGTCACACACCCTGCCACTGAATTCCTGGATACAGAACTCCCTTGGGAACTTGCTTCAGCAGCAGCCCTAAACACTGTGGATGCCTGAGCCAAGAGTGGGGTTAGCAATGCACCATGTCCTGCCACTGGAGGCAGACCTAGATCCATCCAGTCTGTGTTTGATTACTCAGGCTTATAACATTATACTAACTTAACATTAATATACAAAGACTGTATGATGGGACCCATTTCCCCAGGAAAGCTTGACAAAGTAACTATTATGATGGAAGTCAACTACGTTTTGGGACACTAACTGAAAAAAAGAAAATGCAAAAGCAATATTACTTAGAGGCAGCTAGGCAAAAGGATTAAAACTTTTTAATTTCAGTGACAAATCATATTTACCAGCATCCATTTCTGTGCTGATAAGACAGTAATGGTCAGACAACATTTTTACACTCTGAAGTGATCACATCATCCTATAGTTTCAGCATCATTATACATAGTCATTCTCAGCTAAAATACAGCCATTTTCAGGTCTCTGTTATTCAAAAGCTATCACTGCAGCAGAAGAAACAAAAATTGACAAGAACAGGCATGTCTAAACTGATCCTCTGCAAATATTAAAAGCTCAAAAAACCAAGTTTAGCATTTTTGGGGGGGAAAAAAGTGTAGTTCTTCACCTGCCTTGAAATATAAACAAAGTAGTCACACAGTTTCACTGCAAAAAAAGACATTTAGAAATTACAGTTTCTTATAGTCACTCTTCTTGGTATCAGAACCATGGAAAAGCTGTCCTCTCTCTTAATAAAAGGAGCACGCACACCCACACATGCCTCCCACACTGGTAAACACCTATTTCACCTCATTCTCCACTAGTTTTATAAGAGTTCTTTCCATACCAGTACTAGTAACCTATCACACCTATAAGTCGAAGTTGGTGATGAGTCAAAGCTAACATCACAGCGTTTTTCCCAGAAAGAAGAAATAATTTTGTAACAAACGCTCACAGGCATAACATATTTAGCATGACCATTGAAAGGACTAGTACCCCACAAGGCTGTATCTGGATACAATCATTAACTTGAACATAATTTAAAATATAAATTTTAAATTGTAGCATGTCATTTTTACAGATATGTAGACAGGGAAGTTCCCTGTGGCTTATATCATCCCATTCACAGAATACTATTTTACCTTATGTTTAATAACAAAAATACATATATATAGGCAGAAATGCCACTTGCCTGGAAGCATAGTGTTCTCTGGGTAAGTTCAACAAACCTCTCAGTTCCTTTAAAAAAGGACATGTCCACATGCCACAAGGAAAGACATATCTGAAATGTTCTTTTTTTGGGAGAAGTCTCAAAGTAACTTATTTAAGAAGCAAGTTACTAGAAATTCCCCCGAAGTACACACAATGAAGTTACTAGTTCTGTTATACACAACCTAAGTCAAGCTCTCAAAGTTAACTTAAGAACATAAGACTTGACATTTACGGGGTTAGACCAAACGTCCATCTTGCCCAGTTTACTGTCACACAGTGGCAAGGAATGGATGCTGAAAGCAGAAGTGGACTGAGGATAACCAGGATTTTTTTCCATTGTTCCTCTCTCACTTGCTGCCTCCAACAATGAAAGTCTGATGAGTTCTCCTTCAGAGGTTGTATCTTTAAATCCCATGCACAATAGCTACTGATGCCTCTTTCCTCCAAGGATTTGTCCAGTCCCAATTTTTGAACCTGGCTAAACTGTCAGCATCCATAACACCTAGTAGCAGTGAGTTCCACGCTTTAATTACACGCTGTGTGAAAAAGAACTGCCTTTTGTTCATTGTAGTTAACAACCTTAATAAAGACTGAACTTTCTAGCAGCCTTAGATGCAATTTCTAACAGCAGCAGCAAAACATTTTCAACCCCAAAACTTGGTCAACTTGCCAACATGTTTTAGCTGCCACACTTGGAATTTTTCAAAAAAATAAATGTAGTCATGTTGAAAACGGGAGAACACATTTTGATGATAAAAGTGTCTTCAGAAAATTAGAGGAGCGAGGATTTTTTGCGGAGTGATTATCTTTCGAGAGAGGAAGTTGGCCATGTTAGTCTGAAGTCAGGCAGGGTAGATATGCACCTTATAGACCAGCGGTTCTCAACCTTTTTAGACTCAAGGCACCCCTCCACAACTGTTGAGAATTGAGTAGCGCCCTGTTTTATTGCAGTGCTTACTCCCCTTCCAGAGGGGCCAGGCATGGAGGAAGAGCCAGAGAGGGCTCTGAACTTGAGCTTATCTTCTCACACCTCATGTCACCCTTTAAAGGCTCTTGTGACAGTCCTGCATCGCCTGGCATCATGGTTGAGAGTCACTGGAAGGGACCAAGATATACAGAGCACAAGCTTTCATGAACTTAAGTTCACTTTGTCAGCTACTGTGACAAAGCGTTTGCAAGTTCATGAAAGCTGGTGCTCTGTATCTCTCTCAGCCTAGAGCAGTGGTTTTCAACCTGTGGTCAACAGACCCCTGGGGGTCCACAGACTATGTCTAAGGGGTCTGTGAAAGAGGACTATGATCAACCAAAAGTATGTGAATATCCGCATTTAGGATTCAAAGAGATCTGCACTTCCATTCAAAATATTTTAGGGGTCCACAAAGGAGAAAAGGTTGAAAACCACTGGTCTAGAGAAGATTTCTGCAGGTGACTTCTTTTATTTGGCAAACTGTGCAGTTGGGATGAAGTCAGACGAGCTGTCAAGTGCAAGGCGCTGTCAGGTCTCAGAAGCAGCGTGGCTTTCTACCTTTTTAGACGGGAGACAGCCCCAGAGGGATGCAAAGCAGCCCTGGAAAAGTACCTCAGCTCTTCCTTTTCACTTGCTTTCTGACCACAGAAACCTACAAGCTGTTGTCCTCTGCAGAGGAGCCCGCAGCAAGCAGAAGGGTTTCAACCCTCGGGACTGGAAACCTCTGGTGTTGGCCCCCACAGCAGCGTGAACCCACCTGGTGCCCTGCGAAGGACCCCAAGGCTCCCGGGAGGGGTCACTACCACGCTAGGCCGCGTCCTTCCCACCTCTGACCCCACCACCGGGGCGCTGAAGCGAGGCCCGCTGGAGAAGGCCACGCGCTGGGCAGCGGGGCCTGCTTCACCTCCCCGGGCCAGGGACAGACTCCGCCCCGGGCGACCGCGGCCACGACAGGAGGGGGCCCGGCTGCCAGCCCCGGTCGGGCCCAGTCTCGGCTCGGCGCCGGCCGACACTGACAGCGGCCC